CGGGAGGATGGGAAAGCTTGAGTTCAGAAGACGACAGGTACCCATTATGTCCTGGGTGCTTTACAATGCAAAAAAGAAAAAACCTTATGCCAGTGATTAAGCTTATATAACTCGATTTTAATTGCTTTCCTGTTCCCGTTTTCGGCATTCGGACACGCGGTACGCATCGGAGCAGATTTCCCACACATCCGTCATATGCTCCTTGCCGACCTGCCCTCACAATTGTGTATCCAAGCGCCGTTCGGACTCTGGCCCTCCAGCCGGGCACTCTTCTATTCGTGCTTATTCTCTAGGACAAGGTCTACTATATCATTTCGGACCACATACCCCCGGGCTTTACGTCCGTAGGCGACATTTGGGCGGCGACGGGCACCCGAACGCACGGCAAAGTCGACGCCGTGAAGATCACTTCAACACGTGACCACGCCTCCACAACCCATCATTTACCCATTCATGGCAATAGACAACTTACGTTCTTCGCGCTTACCAACGTTTCATCTCGCTTGATCTTTACTGAAACGGTTGTCCACAACTTGCAAGCGGTGAAGGAGAACGCTTTGTCAGCTCCCACCACACGGTCGTCCCTCCACCATTCCTTCACCCCCGTCCCCCAAAGGACTCCAAGCGCCCAGGGCGGAGCCTCTCAGGAACCAACTCTACGTCTTGGTCATACAATCCCGAAAGATTATGACTATGTGGCGCTTCCGAGATATACTAGTGACCGGGGGTGACGTGGTCCTCATACGAACGTATAAGAACGGCAACATAAAAAGTAATGACCTAACTGTATCTCAAGATCAATAAACCTCACCTAACAGAAGTATCTTAATGTCAGACTTGAAACGGAAAGAACGAGATTCTTGTTCAAAATGCGGCGAACTCAACAGAGTACGTTTTGGTGTCGATTCGCTAAGTCCCCCTCGCTGATTTTTGGCCGCGTCCGGATAGCCTTGCGATGGTTTATTCCCCGACTGCGAGTACTACCGTCGAGCAGCTGGGCCAACAGCTTCCGGACCCCATAGCCAGAGAACACAATCAGAACTCGAGCAACTGGAGCAGCAAATTCAACAGTTGGAACGAAAGCTCCAGACTCTAACCAAGAGGGAGAGTGCTGGCGTCACCCTTGCTGAAGAGGTTAATTGGAACGTCGTTGATCCTAGGGACGAGATAGGTAAGAGCAAGCTATTTTAAGCCCCGTGTGCGTTTACCTAATGAGTTTGAAAGGGATATCTCCACCCTTTAACCGACGTCCGGTAGAGATGAGAGAGAGGTGGTGGGACCGCCCCGTTCTGTCACCGCCCGTACGAAACTACCTGTGAGTCGCCTCTAGCAACATTCGATGGAACCTACGTTGAGCGATCCTCAAGGATCAATATCGCTATATCAGCGTCGGGCCAGTACTTTTCCTATTTTCATCCTCCGACACTGTTTCAGTCGT